ATTCTAATAGCGCAGGGGACTGGAGTCAGACCTGCTGGAGTCTACGCTGGGCTCTGACATGGGCTACCTGTGTGAGCCCAGGCAAAACACCTGACTTGACCTCAGACTGCCTCAGTTTACCCATATGTAACAGCATTTACCTTCTTCACAGGGTTAGATAATGTTGGCAAAACTCTAGATTCCCAGAAAGATTAATTTCATAGGGACTATTAGATTGGAGAGAGAAAGAAGACACAAACCAGGAGGTGTTAAAGTATCATCCACCAAGGCACAAGCGCTAAAATTTCCGAAATCACATAAGTGATTGAAGAACTTCCTAAGTCACTTATGCTTCTGAAAGTTTTACCCACAGTAAGGATTAAAATGTATCTTGCTTCAGTTTACTCAGGGAGGCAAAGCTTACCAAGAGTCTCATCAAATGCCCATTGACATGAATGAAAGGCCTCCCATTGACTTTAAGGGGCATTGGGTCATGCCCCATGTAGCAAATGGGGCATTAGCGGCAGTTGTGGGTGCTCATTTCAAGGCACCGGAGGTTGAGTGCAATCAGCCACTAGCAGTAGTGGCCCTAAAATGGGAGCTACGGGTGTGAAACCCCTTTCAGGATTTGGGCCTAAGATAGGGATCAAAACAATAAGAAGTCTGAAATGCCATAAAAGTTGTTTGCCATCTCATTGCTGTTGAAGACTGGCATTGACCAGCTGGGCATCAGGTGCAGGGAGAAAATAAGGGTGAGATGCTCAACAGCTGTAAATCAGTGTGTGGTTCTAAGTTCACTGGAACTATGCCAATTTAAATCCGCTAATGATCTGGCCCTACAGACTTGTGGAAATCTGACTCATATTGTATGTCACGTCACTGATTTGCAAAGGCTTGAAAGGTGAATTGCAATGGTTAATATGTTGCTATTTGAGTCAATAAAAATGGTTTGGAACAAAAATTGTATCCACTTATTTTCAATATCAAGTTATTTCCCTACATATGTTTCTAATCATTAAGAAATTCTGTCACTTAAATAATGTTCTTAAAATACGGTAACAGTTGAACTACATTCTGTTATTACCTTATTGAATTTCATTCCCCGGAAAAGATATTGGGATACTAGATCTCAAAAAAACAAATGGCAATTACATTTTTAACAGAATGTTTCAAAACCTTCTGCAAACAGTTAGACATCTAGCCAGGGAAGAAGGTAGAAAGCATATGGGCCAATTGCTGTCTGTTGGCTGTTCAAGATGCTTTGGTGTATAAGCAGCTGTGTTTGTCCATTCAATACCGTTATTCTTTGTGGTCCTTCTACACTCATATCTGCAAGTCCAGCTAGCCTGGTCAAAAAGTTGCATACAATGGATCATCACATAGAGGAAGGATGGCCCAGAGTTTAGGATGCTGGTGGGAGACCTGGGTTCAATTCCCTGCTGTGTCACAGATGTCCTGGGTGACCTTTGGCAAATCACTTAATCCCTCTGCACCTCAGTTCCACATCTGTAAAATGGGGATAATAATATTTCCCTCCCTCACAGGAGGTGTTGTGAGGATTAAAGCGTGTGAGGTGCTCAGACACTATGGTAATGGGGACTATTTAAGTATCTAAGGTGAGTAGCTATTGTACAGATTGCTGTGCAGGAAAAATGTGTTATAATTGAAGCCTTCACTCTACCATGCATTGTGTTGGTGTCAGAAATACTGTTATCACAATGCAACACTCTAAGGTGCTGGTTTATGAGAATGGGATCACTATGGTGAAATTGTAACACTCCCTCAAAATTTGCAGCAGGCTCATTAAGCCCCATGGGGAGAGACACATTTGGACAAGCAAAACCGGAGACGTGACATTTCTGACTGACAGGGCACAGGTAAGTTCAAGCAAATGTACTCATGATGCAGAAAATAACATTCCTCACGTGACACCTTCCTCAGCCATGATTCACCCACCCATACTACAGAACGTTTCACAACTGAGCTTCACACATATCCCAGTTCGCTTGATACTCTATTCCATGGTGATAAATCATATCATCTATCTAACAACAGAGGAGCGAAACTGGGCTTCCAGCATAATGATGGAAGTTGGTGATTTATAATCCCAGTCTCTTTCAAGTGTGCCCTTGTTGCCAAGAAGGCTAATGGCATTTTGGGCTGTATAAGTAGGCGCATTGCCATCAGATCGAAGGATGTGATCATTCCCCTCTATTTGGCTTGGTGAGGCCTCATCTGGAGTACTGTGTCCAGTTTTGGGCCCCACACTACAAGAAGGATGTGAAAAAATTGGAAAGAGTCCAGCATAGGGCAACAAAAATGATTAGGGGGCTGGAGCACATGACTTATGAGGAGATGCTGAGGGAACTGGGATTATTTAGTCTGCAGAAGAAAAGAGTGAGGGGGGATTTGATAGCTGCTTTCAACTACCTGAAAGGGGGTTCCAAAGAGGATGGATCTAGACTGTTCTCCATGGTAGCAGATGACAGAACAAGGAAGAATGGTCTCAAGTAGCAGTGGGGGGAGGTTTAGGTTGGATATTAAGAAAATCTTTTTCACTAGGAGGGTGGTGAAGCACTGGAATGGGTTACCTAGGGAGCTGGTGGAATCTCCATCCTTAAGAGGTTTTTAAGGCCTGGCTTGACAAAGCCCTGGCTGGGATGATTTAGTTGGGGATTGGTCCTGTTTGAGCAGGGGGTTGGACTAGATGACCTCCTGAGGTCCCTTCCAACCCTGATATTCTATGAACTCACAGCATGGGATAGTGCTAGTAGATACTTAGGTACAAACTGTAAAACCAGAATGTCACAGAAAATAGCATGGGGGGGAGGGGACCATTGTACCCATCAAAGCCTCCATCTGAGAGGACAAACTGTGGAATGCAGTAGCAAGGCGTGCAACTGTGGGCTTTTGTAGTGTCCCCTTGAGTATAAACCCAGTGGCCCATGTTTGAGAAACTGGCCCATAAGCAAAAATACATTTGCTGTATGCTGATGTCTCTGCACTGGTCACAAATTCAGCTGTGCAAGTGTCTGCCCAAGCAAAAGAGCTGATCTGTTGGCAAAGTTAATAGCTAGCTTGTTGCCTGGCTTCGTTTGTGTTCATGGCTCTGTCAGGCTGACGGATGGTATTTACATTGAAGCTAACCTCAGGGCCGGCTCCAGGCACCAGCCGAGCAAGCTCGTGCTTGGGGTGGCAGATTCTACGGGGCGGCATTCCGCCCGATCCTAGGGTAGCATGGCTGCTTTTTTTTGTTTTGTTTTGTTCGCCGATCCGTCCGCCCTGTAGGGGGTGGCGGTGCAGAGGAAGGGAGCGCCCTGCTGGGAACGGGCTGCGCTCTCCGTCTGTCCCAGCCGGTGCCAGGTCGGTAGCAAGCCCGGCAGGGCAGCCCGCGTCCTTCCCTCCCCGCCGACTGGAGCGGCGCGGAGCCCTCCTGGCAGGCAGCATGGCGGTCAGGGCCGCGTGGCGAGCGCACTGCTGAAGCCCTGGCCGCCCCCCTTCTCTCTCTTTCCCCCCCCCGCTCCCTCCCTTTGCCCCTGCTACCTGGGGCATGTCTGCAGCACAGGGAGTCCCCCTGCACCCTGGCTCTGGCCGCCCCGCAGGTTTGTTTGTTTTTTCTTGCTTTGCCGCTCCGGCTGCAGGGTTTCGGGGTTTTTTTGCTTTGCCGTTCTGGCTGCCCCGTATTTTTTTTCTTTTTTTTTTTTGCTTGGGGCAGCAAAAAAGCCAGAGCCGGCCCTGGCTAACCTGCAGCTTGTGATGTAGTGTGCCGCTTGCAACGTTGCTCCTCACTGTAGGATTCAAAAACTGTTCTCACAAGGGATAGAGCAGAATTGGGTTCCGATCAGGCTGTAGGTCAAAAAAAGTATTACTGTTCATTACACTTACTACTGTAGTTTAGCACATAGACGACATATACTTCTAAAATAGCCACTAATGTATACAATCCTCCAGCTACAGCAATGAATAGCAGCCCAGCAGAAATTAGATCTGGAAAAGACTTTGCACAAAAGGTTTTTCCTAGACCAGGGCACCTTTTTTCATAAATTAAAACGCTCACAATATTATCAACATTCTCCACGAAATTTTGCATTATATTTGCTCCTGACATTTTTACCAAAATCATTTTAAAAATCATAATTGACATTTTTACTTGACTGCAAATTGAGTTTTGGTAGATGAAAAACTTTTTTTAAAGAATTTCCATAGAAATGTTGGTTAAAATTTAGCCAGTAAGGGATGAGCTAATTCACTGCTGCTCCATCCTGCTACTCACCCTGGAGAGTGTGGGCATTTATTTAGGGGACAGATTCACAAAAGGCTGAAGAGACTTAGGTGCACAAACCCCAATCATGTGAGGTATTGAGCCACCTCAACGTCAACTGAAGTCAGTGGGTGTTTAGGGCACTCAGCACCTTACAGGATTGGGCTCTCAGGGCCTACTCGTGCCAGCCTTCCTCAGACTAAACTTCTTTTGACTTCAGGGAGCTTCCCAGGCTGCAGTGGGAGCTGAAGATGCACAGCACCTCATAAATGGTGATCAGCATTTAAGAGGATCAGCCCCTTGGGCATTTGTATGGCGCCCATCACCTCAGGTGCCTTACAGTTTTTAAATTATATAACTCCCTACATATGTAATTAGTGAAGTAAGCTGCTTTCACTGTAACCTAAAATGTTTGTAATGCTTATAATCCCAATTAGGTATCTGTCTAAAGGAGCTCACTGTTAATTAAAGGCAGAGAGGGGGAATGGTTTTCCAGCAAAAAAAACGGAGGGACCTGTCAGAAGGGTAAAGCTGCAAATAAGCTTGCAAGCCTGCTTATGTTTAGCTGAATAATCGGGATTTTATTTGCCGTGACAGAGCCATTTTTGCCGCCCCAAGCAAAAAAAAAAAAAAGCCGCTTGGACTCTGCTGCCCGAACTGCCGAAGACAAAAAAAAAAAAACCAATGGGCCACCCCAGGCACGTGCTTTATCTGCTGGTGCCTGGAGCCGGCCCTGCCTGCTTATTTTGTGAGCATTCTGACAAAGGACGTTCGTGAGAAAGCAGCACTCCCTTGGCAAGTCCTGCCAACCAGGCCATTATTGGCATCTTAGCCAGTATACTTTACTCACCTCGACCTCCCATCTCAGCAAGACTAGACAAGGGTCAGAGCCCAGGTCCCTTTGGGGATTAAAAAAATCTGTCCTTTGACAGTCAAGATGCAGCTGCGCTTGTGGTTCATTTTAACTTCCCTTTGGGAAAAGATGACTGCTCAGACTCTCTTCGTCATTCTGGTTGTGCTTCTTTTGATTGTTGATCATGTGAAAAAGAGACGTCCCAAGAATTTTCCTCCTGGGCCACTACTTTTTCCTTTCGTTGGCACTGTGGTGGACTTTAAGCAACCCATCCATCTCGCTCTGCAGAAGGTAAGAGCCTGACTGAGATTTATCGTATTAATGCTTTGCACGTACGGAGCGTGTTCTGTAGCAGACCCTTGGAAATGCTTTACAGACAGTAAGCCTTACAACAGCCTGTGATGTAGGTAACTGTTACTGGACCTCCCTGGGTGCAGAAGGGACCTAAATGCAACAGAACTCCAGCAGAGAGGGTGTTTACAGGCTGACCCCATCCCACCTCTGCCTCTCTGTGGTATCACGGAAGGGCTGAGCCAGATTGGGGAAGGGACGATAGGTGATTGGTGGATCCACAGCTATGCAGACTTATGAAGAGCCTTTGTCCATTTACTTTGCCTTTGTTCTGGTGTCCAGGATTTGTCCCATTCCATCTATTTTACAGATGGAAAAACTAAGGCACAAAGAAGTTAAGTGCCCATGTGACTTGACCAGGGTCACACAGAGAAGCAGTGGCAGAGCCAGGAATAGCATCCAAGAGTCCTAACTGCCGGTGAAGTCAGTGGTGCTATGACTATTGACACCAAAAAGTGGAGGAGGGGGCTTACCCTCCATTATAACTGGCTGGGCAAAGTAACATCCCTCCAGGGTCTGGCTTGTTTTCTTTTGCTATTACTTTAAAATGTGCCTTCACTTGTGTTGCAACCAGCCTAGGCCTGGGTGCTGTTCTCACAGGCTCCCATTCCTCTTCAGTGAAGCCTGGGGGAACTTGGGAAACACTTATTGGGAGTGCGACATGCCTGGTAGCTTTAAGTCATCAAAATAACAATTACACTTGTAACACAAGGGCCCTTTATAATTCCTTGTACTCATTTTGCTGGGCCGAAGAAGGAGCCTACAAATAACAAAGACATCCCTTTCGGGCAAAGCGTTAAGGGCATTATCAATGCTTTTAGGCCTCTGATTTGTCCTCTTCTTCCCACTCAGCACTGTTATAATCTCATGGAGAAAACATTCCTGATCCTAAATGGCAACATTATCTTCCATTCCTGGGAAAAGAGAACATGTGGGACCAAAAGCTAATGTTCAATGAAGGAGGTATTAACCTGCTGAGGAAGATAAGGGCTGACCTAAACATTAAGCACAGTCTGACTCTGATTGGTGGTGGCAGGTGTCTTAAACCCTGTCCATACAGACACTATATGCACACATTGGTAAGGGAATGTGCCATGGAGAATCCAGGCCTTGGCAGATGCTGCATAAGCCAATATGCAAAGTTCAAGTTCTAACCGCCTAGGATTAGTTCTACGTGTGTAAAAGTTGGGGCGGGGGGAGGGCAATGGAGATGATGAGGAACCATTATAATGGAGTTGATCTTTTTTTGATGACAACTTTGGCCCAACATTGGTCCCATATGTGACCTAACATTCTAGGAGGACCATCTGGATCATCCTCTAGCATTAGTGTTCCAGTGTGAAAGAGTCATGTTGAAGTTATACAGAGCAGAGCTTTAGGTGATGCCTATGGTCAGCTTGCTAAGAAGACATCTCTCCTACACTACAGCTTGCCAGTATTTTTGTACCATCTCCATCCTTCCAGTGGTTAGTTTGACACAGAAGGTAACTAAATCAGAGGAATGTGTCTTTCAGCTTATTGGCCGTTATGGCAACATTTTCAGTGTGCAGTTTGGAAATCTGACATTTGTGGTGGTCAACGGATACCAACTAGTGAAGGAAGCTCTTGTCCATCAAGCTGAAGTATTTGCAGATCGACCACATATACCACTTCTCCGTGAAATTTTTAAAGGCCTAGGTGAGTTCCCGTGATGTGGTTGTCATTGTTTGCTACTTTGCCTGATTGGCATCATGACCATCCAATAAATAAATAAATAAATAGGCTGAATTCTGCCCTTGGCTACAATCCCAGCAACTTTAACTGGGATTCACAGATGCACAGGAGAGTTGGAATTGTTCCAATGTTTCTAAATCTCAATGGGGAAATATTATTTTTCTCTCTCTCTCTCTCTCTTTCTCTCTCTCTGGAAGATTGGGAGATGGGATCGTTCTGACTGGTTTCACTGAATTTAACATGAGAGATAATATGGAGTGTAAACAGCTCCTTCCTACTTGGGTCAGCTGGACACCATAACATATAAAGCACTTTTGCTGAATAGGGCCCAGACACAGCTGCCACTGAAGATAATGGGAGTCTGTCAGTACAAACGGAGTGTCTGATTCTGCTGCCTATACTCAGACTGAGTAGTACTTACAGGAGGAGTCCACTAAGGTCAATGGGACTGCTCACACAAACAGCTACTACTCAGTGTGAGTGAGGCTGGTGCAATCAGGCCATTAGTAATCACCTCAGCATTCGGCCCAAATATCCTAGAATCTGTTTATACCTGGGGATCTATTAAGCTGAAAGGAGCTAAATAAATGCAAGGGGCCAGACACATTTCAAGAGTTTCACCGGAGATGGGACATTGGGAGGGGTGGCCAGAGCTCTGAGGTGGCACCGAGCATTCTTTCTCTCAGGTGCTTGGCTGGCTGGTTCTTGCTCACATGCTCAGAATCTAACTGATTGCCTATCTGGGGTCTGGAAAGAATTTTCCCCCAGGTCAGATTGGCAGTCACCGTGGTTGGGTTTTGGTTTGTGTTTTTTTGCCTCCTTCTAACGCATGTGGGTGTAGGTCACTTGCCAAGGTTTTGTGGGTATATCTCACTGAATCATTTCCCTGCCATTGCAAGGACTGGTCCCCCTCTGTCCCTCCTATAGCACAGAACAGTCTAGTCTCCTGTGGACTGCAATACTTTGGTCTCTTTCAGTTGTTGGGTGGTCTTGGTGGACTGTGATATACAGGAGGTCAGGCTAGATGATCTAGAGGTTATCTCTTTGGAGTGTGGATTTTTCACATCCCGGAGAGAGATTTTTTAGCTCCACTGATGTAAGTTTTCTGTGTAGACCAGCCTCTGTGACTTTTTTTTTTATTCCCCCATTACTTTTCTTTCCTCCAGTTGCACGCAGCACTGCAGCTGAAGCTTACAAAGAAAATCACATCCCACATGCAGGTCTCCCAACACTGTAATAGCACTAACAGTAAACTATTTGTGCTTACCCCTTTTATTCACACAAAGCACAAGAGAAAAGGGGGAAAAGGCAGATTAAAGCAAATCTATAAAGCTAGCTCCTGAGTGTAAGCTGATTTCTTTTGGGTTTTAATTCCCATGCAAAAATGTAATTTAAAAATAAGGTGTTTTTTTAATATTCTAAATCATTTTTAAACTGTTTCCTGCATACGGCAAAACATATCATGTTTTTTTCACTGCAGGGCTGATATCATCAAATGGACATATCTGGAGGCAACAAAGAAAATTTGTTTTATCAGCTCTGAAAAGCATTGGCGTAAGCTTTGAAGAACGAATACAGGAAGAGAGCAGATATCTTACTGAAGCAATAGAGGAAGAGAAGGGTAAGAAATGAACTTACATTTTATCCTAAGATTCTAGCTATGCTTTTCTCAGGACAATCACACAGACATCTTGATCAGCCCCCTTGATCAGCGCCAACCTTACCCATGGTCTTTGGTGAGCCTAGGCCAGAAACAACTGGAATGGTTGTGACTCGTAAATATATGCACCATGATGGCACCAGTGAAAGGAATAAACATAGGAAAATAGAAATTGCCATACGAGATCAAGACCAGGGCTCTATCTACTCTGATAGCCTATCTCCGAAAGTGGCCAGCACAAGATGCTTCAGAAGGAAGTGCAAAGAGGTCCATAATGGACAATTGTGCAATAATCTGCCCATACCAGAGGTTTATCTATTATTTTCTTTTTATTATTTTTATTATGATAGGGCCTAGGAGCTCCAATCAAGAATCAAGGCTTCTTTGTGCTAGAGAATATGTTTTATATGTACTGGGAAAATAAACATAAGAGATTTCAATAGTATTTGGATAAATAACAGAATAGCGCATGCAATGCATGATGTAATCCTTATTTTAAAAAAGCACATGATTTATATGTATTATATTATCAAATAATGGATTTTTAAGCAGCCATCCAGACTTGTTATCCTCCCATAACTTTCTATTTGTCTTTTATAATTACAGGTATATAGGCATGCCAAGAAATCCATTCCTGTGGTTTTTGTGGAATACAGTTAGTATGCAATGTGTAGAGGAGAGCTAATCTTTAAAGGGATGCAGTCTGGTTGTTTAGGACCAATAAGAAAATGTTATTAAAATGTACAAAACCTAAGACTATATTAATATTATAAATGTTTTCCTGGATACTTTAGTTGGGTTTCCCATGCAATATTTAAAACCCAGACGTGTTAGCTTTGTGCTAGTGCACAAAAGTTGAAAGTGAAATTGACTAGAAACTGACTATAGAACTGTTAGAAAATAAGAATATTTAGACCTTATGTAGAGCTTTTCCATATGTAGATGTTAATATGCTTTAAGTGGATGAGTAAGCAAATATTAACCCCATTTAACAGATGGGAAACTGAAGTCCACAGAGGTTCAGTGGATTGCCCCAGGTACTAACAAGCCAGTGTAGAGCTAGAAATAGGACCCAGGGTTCCTGACTTATAGTCTGGGAGTCCCTATTCATTTGCCACACTGAACGTAGCACAAAACCAAAACAGTATAAGTGGTGAAAAGTAAATTGGATTTAAAATAATATTTCAGTTTTAAGAATCTAGGGTGGTATTATTACACTAGTCTGGAATGTTTATAAACTGACACTGTCCCTATATTTTCTCCTCCAGGGCAACCATTTGACCCTCATTATAAAATTAATAGCGCTGTTTCAAATATTATCTGTTCCATCACTTTTGGGGAGCGCTTTGAATACCATGACAGTCAATTCCAAGAATTACTGCATTTGCTTGCTGAGACATTACTCCTCATAGGAAATTTTTGGGGCCAGGTAAAGCTGGTTTGTTTTTTGACTTCAGACACCTGAAAAGTAAAGTAGTTAGAGTGAGAACAGAATCAAGAGAGGTGAATCTAACTTTTCCTATGTAAAAAAGTATAATGATATATGGGAAATGACCATGTATTCCTTCACGTGAGTATCGCATACTTAATTCTGGTTTTTATTAGGGCTGTCGATGAATCGGTTAACTCACATGATTAACTCAGAAAAATTAATTGCGATTAAGAAAATTAATCATGATTAATCGCAGTTTTAATTGCACTGTTAAACAATGGAATACCAATTGAAATTTACTAAATATTTTAGATGTTTTTCTACATTTTCAAATATATTGATTTCAATTACAACACAAAACACAAAGTGTGCAAAGTGTACAGTGCTCACTTTATATTTATTTTTATTACAAATATTTGTACTGCAAAAATGATAAAAGAAATAGTATTTTTCAGTTCACCTCATACAATGCCATAATGCAATCTCTTAATCGTGAAAGTGTAACTTACAAATATAGATTTTTTTTATTACATGACTGCACTCAAAAACAAAACAATGTAAAACTTTAGCACCTACAAGTCCACTCAGTCCTACTTCTTGTTCAGCAAATCACTAAGACAAACAAGTTTGTTTACGTTTACAGGAGATCCTGCTGCCAGCTTTTTATTTACAATGTCAACTGAATGTGATAACAGATATTTGCATGGCACTTTTGTAGCCAGCATTGCAAGGTATTTATGTGCCAGATATGCTAAACGTTCGTATGCCCCTTCATGCTTCGGCCACCATTCCAGAGGACATGCTTCCATGCCAATGATGCTCATTAAAAAAAAATGGGTTAATTAAATTTGTGACTGAACTCCTTGGGGGAGAATAGTATGTCTCCTGCTCTGTTTTACCCGCATTCTGCCATATATTTCATATTATAGGAGTCTTGGATGATGACTCAGCACATGTTGTTCATTTTAAGAACACTTTCACGGCAGATTTGACAAAACGCAAAGAAGGTACCAATGTGAGATTTCTAAAGATCACTACAGCACTCGACCCAAGATTTAAGAATCTGAAGTGCCTTCCAAAATCTGAGAGGAACGAGGTGTGGAGCATGCTTTCAGTAGTCTTAAAAGAGCAACACTCCAATGCGGAAACTACAGAACCCGAACCACCAAAAAAGAAAATCAACCTTCTGCTGGTGGCATCTGACTCAGATGATGAAAATGATCATGCGTTGGTCTGCACTGCTTTGGATCGTTACTGAGCAGAACCTGTCATTAGAATGGATGCATATCCTCTGGAATGGTGGTTGAGGCGTGAAGGGACATATGAATCTTTAACGGATCTGGCATGTAAATATCTCGCGATGCCGGCTACAACAGTGCCATGTGAACACCTGTTCTGACTTTCAGGTGACACTGTAAACAAGAAGCAGGCAGCATTATCTCCTGCAAATGTAAACAAACTTTTTGTTTGAGTGACTGACAGCAAGAAATAGGACTGAGTGGACTTGTAGGCTCAAAAGTTTTACACTGTTTTATTTTTGAATGCAGGTATTTTTTGTACATAATTCGACATTTGTAAATTCAACTTTTATGATAAAGAGATTGCATTACAGTACCTATATAGGTGAATTGAAAAATTACTATTTCTTTTGTTTTTTACAGCACAAATATTTGTAATCAAAAATAAATATAAAGTGAGCACTGTATACTTTGTGTTTTGTGTTGTAATTGAAATCAATATATTTGAAAATGTAGAAAATATCCAAAAATATTTAAATAAATATTGTTTAACAAGCAATTAATCACGATTAATTTTTTATATCGCTTCACAGCCCTAGTTTTCACATAAAATCCCACATGTTGATAATATGGTGTGGGTGCTAGAAAGACAGAGAAAGAAACCACCAAGTATGATGGTTTTTTCACATCCAAGCCACATGAAAACACAAATGTGTGGTCATGATACAAATCCTGTATCAAGTCAGATTCATTTAAAAGGTTTATCAATAGATGTATCTGGGAAATTTCATAAACTTCTACAGTTTCTATGGAAAATGGACAAAATTATCCTTAAAATTTTCTGCTGATTTCCCCTCCCCCCCCCAGTTTTTAACCAGCTTTATTTGTGAATCATACTGGGGATGACCATAGCACTTACCTACCTCACAGAGGTGTTGTGATAATAAATACATTTAAGACTGTGATTGAGATCTATTGATGAAAAGCACTCTACAAGAACTAGACATTAATTATTATTATTTGTTAGTGGGCTGGCCTGAGTTTCCAGATCTATAACCAGATCAGGCCAATACTGACTGATTTGGAGTTTAACCGTGAATAGATTATGCAGTTCTGCACAATGTGGGTCAGACTCTGATATCAGTTACATCTGTAGAACTCCACGGTCAATTGATTTATTATTCTGGGTCTACACCATGAGACTCTGGTTGGGTTTTTTTAAGCTTTTGTTTCAGATTAAGGGACTTTATTGGCCAGCATGAGTTCTAAAAAAATAAACTTTTATTATCAGAAAACAGTGGGCCTGAATCACACCAATTTCACACCAGTGTAACTCCATTAACTTCAGTGGAATAACTCCTGATTTGTACTGGTGTAAATGTTTGGAGGATCAGGCTAATCCTAGATGTGTTACACTGTAATAGATTTTTTCTTGATCTAAGAGGTGTTAATTTGTCCTGTTCATCTTACATCTTAACAGCTGTATAATGCTTTCCCCTGGCTAATGAGGTGGGTCCCAGGGCCCCATAATAAAATTTTCAAACATTGGAAGAAACTTAAATATTTTGTGACTGGAGTGATTGCAAAGCACAAGGAGGACTTGAATTCATCTGAAACCCGAGACTTCATTGACTGTTATCTGAAGGAAATAGAAAAGGTAAGAGGACAACGAGGACCAACAATTTACTGTGCAACAGAAAGAAATCAATAGACAACACTCAGAATTTAGATACTAGCTGCTCAGACAAACTATCTGGAGGTGTGTATGTCATTCAGATTTTGCCATTCTAAATTGCCTGGTGCTCACTTTTAGGGCAAAACTTTCTAACAGAAGCTGTTTGAATGGATAGTTATTTTTCATTTAAAAGTACTTAAAATGGAGAGAAAGCTCAGCTTATGTGCAGCATGCTGTTTTAAAGCACTTGGAAGGTCACTTAATCTAACATCTATGAGATTTCTCAAAGACATTTTTTTTAAGGAAATTTAACATTAAAAAATGCAGTCCTTGATTTGCCAAAAGTCACTGCCCTGCCATACGGCATATGGGATTTTCAAAATGGTCTAGGGGATTTAAGAACGTATCCCAAACTAATGAATGTAAGTCAGAGGCCCAGTCCTGAAACTCTGATGGACATGAGTAATATCAAAGACATCAATAGGACTGTTCAACTGAGTATGGTTTTCTAACATGACTATGATTTACAAGATTGCAACGCAGAAGGAATGGCGGGTGGGTGGGGGGTGCTAAGGTGCATTTAAGTCATCTTTGCACCCTCCTCCTCTAGATGCCAGAAAGGCCCCCGGAGTAACTTAGACAGCCCCGGGGGCCTAAGTTACAGCAGCCTTCCTGGGTGGCTCTATGGGCCGCAGCACTGAACCGACTGCCTCATGCTGTGGTTCTGCTCCTGACACATTTCCTGCCCTGGGATTAGGAAAGCAGTCCTGGGAAGACAGCCTGACAGCCATCTGTCCCATTGCCTCTATTGGGGGGGATCCTCCTCCAGGTGTCACCAGGGCTTTTGGGGCCCCCTGCTTTGACCTTCTTACCCCAAGTAAAGGGGCTGGCAGTGGGGTGCAGTTCTCACCCTAGATATATGAAAAAGCCAAGACTGAGGTTTCCGAGGTAGTGTAGCAGATTTAGACACACATCTTCTCTTAATTTAACAATGACATCAATTTGGGGAGGCCTTAGGTTTTCTTTTGGGGGAGGGGGATAATTTGCCCATCCATGCAATAAAGATGGGTTTTTACCACATATAACTAATATATATATATTTCCACTTACATTTTTTAAAGTCTAAGGATGATTCCATCTCTTATTTCAATGAGGAAAATCTACTGTGTTCCACACTGGATCTGTTTTTAACTGGGACCGAAACATCTGCCACAACCATACGCTGGGCTCTGCTCTACATGGCAGTGTATCCCAAAATTCAAGGTAGATTTTTGTAATGGTTTAAAATTGAAATTGTCCTTCCTTCATTTCAGTTTATTCCCTAGAGGTCTGATCCAAAGCCAACTGAAGCCAGTGGAATTCTTCCCACTCACTTCTGTGAGCTTTGAATCAGGCCTTATATTCGGCCCTTAAATTCCTTAGTGAGCCCCAGTAGCTGAAAGATTGGCTTTCTCACTTCCCTGGGAACAGCACTGAGAACAACAAATGAAGGCTTATTGTACTGGCTAGATCTGAGCTTCAGCACTGGAAATCCTCAAGCTAGTGGTGTCTTTGCAGTTCCAAGTGCAAAGGTCGCTGCAGAATAACCACCACAACTACGAGAGGGAAAGGACTGTCTAGTAGTAAATGCACAGAACTGGAAGTCCTGGGAACTGACTTCTTCTTGGCTTTGCATTGACTTCATGTGTGACCTTGGACAAGTCACTTCACCTCTCTGCATTAGTTTCCCTATCTGTAAAATGGGAATAATGATTCTTAGCTACCTCACTGGGGTAATGTGATGATTAATTAATTAATTAATATTGAAAGGCATACTGAAATCTTGAGATAGAAAGTTCTATAAATGTATGATGATTTATTATTAATTGGCACTTTTTCTCACAGCCTCCGCAGACATCCCAATGACAGAGTGGTCATGAAAAATGAAGGCCTGACCCCAAATCCATTGAAGTCAGTGGAAAGACTCCCATTGACTTCAATGGGCTTTGAGCCAGGTCCTGACTTACCTTCCACCACTTGAGGTCTAGAGCTAATTCCTTGCAGGCATGGTCAAGGCAGGTTGGCAAGGCAATGCGAGGGAGCCTTGCACTGCTATTGCCGATGCTGTACCTTTCTGTGACTACGCACAGCATTTACGTCCAGGATTTGAAAGGAGGCACCTGTCACTCAAAGCACTTTAAAAATAAAAATGCAGCTGAAAATCTGAACAATTGAAGGCTCTCTAAATAGAAAACTGCTCCTCCTTGTCATAACTGTTAACGTGGCTATTGGCTTCTTTTCAGAGAAAGTGCAAACAGAAATTGACACAGTGATTGGCCAGTCCCGGCAACCAATGATGGATGACAAAGAGAATATGCCGTATACGAACGCAGTCCTCAATGAAGTACAAAGGATGGGCAACGTAGTACCTATAAATGTGCCCAGAATGGCAACCAGTGACACTACACTGGCAGGATTCCATTTGCCAAAAGTAACCTGAAAGGAAACTAAGCCTTCCTTTCTTCTTCTGTTGGTTTGATGTTAGATCTAACTTTGAATTCTTTTATGGCAAATCTCATATAATTTAAAAGGGGGTGAAATCATTAGGATCCAATAGCAATTTGACAGAGTACTTTAGAAATGTCTCTAAAAACTAAAAGAATTTAATAGAGATTGGTATCATTTTCATGACTTTTAAAATCCATCCTATAGAATTCTATAGCAGTAATATAATTCTTCATTACATTATATATGATGGATCTAAAATTCCATAGACAAATTATAATTTTCTATTAAGTTCTACAGAAGTTCTCTATAAAGGTAAATTTTCTGGAGAAAGGAACTATCTAAAAAGGGCTTCATTCTCATTTTACAAAAAATTAAAATATTCATTTAATTCCTTGATTTTTTTCTGTGCACTGCACAGACTTCAGTTTTGGTGTTAAGAAAAATACAATCTAGGGTAATTTCATGAATTATATGAAACTGAGACCCAGAGACCATGGGAGCCAATAGGAAGAGGACATAGAGTTTTGATATGTTAGGCTTAAGTGTCTTAGGAAACTCCGCTATGATAAATAAATAGCACTAATTAAAAGCTAGTTTTTAGCAGCACACACACAAGCACCAAGCTCTCATTATGACAGTAAATATCAAACAGCCTGTTATTTCTTACATCTAACATGATCAGTTGCCTCATGGAGAGAGCTGACTTCTTAATGTTTGTACAATCAATCCTATAACTTGACTGCAGTGTTTGCCCCTCTTTGGTGGAGGGTGGGAAGTTTCTTGATATATGGTAGCAATTTTAGCTAGCTGGGAAAAAAAGAAAGAAAAAGCACAGGTGAAGCAAGTTTTAGTTTAAAACCTTATGTACACACAGAAATTGAACTAGTTTAAAATCAATTTGAAAAGTTAAACTGATACAAACTCCTGTGTGGACACACTTTTATTGGTTTTAAACTGGATTCTGTTGGTTTAGCTGTACTAACATAATTGTAATTTATTGACACAAGCCAAACCAATAAAAACCAGACTGCAAACGAACAAAAAGTGTCTGTGCAGGGTGTTGCACTGGTTTAATGAAGGCCTTGTCTATACAAGGCAGTACAGGAAAATTAATCTGCATTAACTAAATGGGTGAATTTGAAGTGGATTAGCACTAAATCCCTAAATCCCTGTGGAACACTGTTATTAAACTGAATGAAATCCACTTTAATTCTGAATTAGTGCATTTACTCAGGGGTTTAAGTAATTTAACTAGTCCACTTCAAATTCATACCTTTAGTTAATTTGGATTAATTTTCTTGGATGTCCTTGTATAGACAAGCCTTAAATTGTTAAAGAAACACACCTTTAATTAAACCAATTCCACTGTGTGTGTAGATCAGGTCTAAGAGAAGTAATAAAATAGTTTAAAAAACAAAATGGCTCAATATGTAACCTTTGAGCACGCTCACCGACTTGTTTTTAGTTCCCATTCTCCTCCTCTCCTTTTGCAGGGTACCACTTTGATCCCCAGTTTGACATCAATAATGTTCGACAAGAATGTGTGGGAAACTCCTGACACATTTAATCCTGAGCATTTCCTGGAAAATGGCCAGTTTAGGAAGCGGGAAGCCTTTCTGCCTTTTTCTGCAGGTGAGATCATGTGTGAGGGAATGTTTTTGCATGAAAAGGCCAATGTCATATTTTAAAAATAGATGAAGCTAGGAAGTGCCAACCCAGACAGACCAATAGTCCATCTTGTCCAGCGTTCTGTCTCTGACACTAGCCATTACCTGATGCTTCAGAGGAAAACTTAAATCCTGGTAATGGGCAGTACTAACCGGGCAACACCGTACCACAAAGGAAAATTCCCTCCTCACTCTATCTACCAATGCAGGCTTTTTTACTGTATTCATTAATACTGTAAGTCAGCTGTTAACTGGTTTTCAGAGTTTGCCTCTAAGAACAATCTCCAACATTTTTATTAAGTGGTAAAGCTCTGAGGACAGTTCCCACAATCTTGTTGGAGAACATTCCCTCCCCACTGTCTACGAAGAGATGTCTCATGCAGGAGAATGTTCAATGGACATACGAGAGGAGGAAATATAGGGAAGAGGATATCTAGGAGCCATCATAACTCTAGCTAAGTACAAAGGATGATCATAAAGTCCTATTCAGCTTCTTATAGTGGGGATTTGTCTGTACAGTATTAGCTCAGAGGTAGTAGCAGACTCATAGTCCAGCCACTAGAGGGGTTCAAAGACCCACAGTGGTAATGTGGGTATAATTAGAGATGTCTAGAGCTCCTCTGAGACTATCAGTACATTTTATAATAATAATAGTCCCCAAATCTTACATAGCATTTTTTCATCTTAGAAAGAACATGGCAAACACCATAGTAATAGTACTGATTAAAGTAAGGCAATGGGCAAGTTTTTCAGGGAACTTACCATATGAGTGAATTTTTAATGAACAGAACTCTGTTTGCGATCACGTAACCCTGTAATTGTAGCAGTAATCCATCAGCTGCTCTTTCTTCCCCTTCCAGGAAAGCGGGTATGCCCTGGAGAGCAGCTGGCTAGAACAGAGCTGTTCATCTTCTTCACCACCCTTATTCAGAAATTCACATTCCGAGCTCTGGAGAACGTGGAGTTAAACTTTGAATTCACAATAAGCCTCACACGCTGTCCAAAGCCGTTCCAGATTTGTGCTGTTTCTCGCTGCTGAAGATCAGGAAGATTTTGTTGGTTTTGCTTCTCATTAAACACCTGCTTTTCATGCAGCAAAGCTCCCCTCCCTCCCCGTCCGCCCCATTACTTTAGTTTTCTCTATTATCATTTCCCCCCAAATTATTTTGTGCCAGGAGATTCCTAGCAACCAGATTATGGGTTGTGGGACATCTGGGCCCCTGAGGTTGCTCCGGGCAGCAGTAATGGGTATGTTACCTAGTGTACACTGCCCTTTGGTGGGAGTAGCCTGATTCTCCCTGAGGTCTGCCAAGGAATGGCTCTTACTTGATGCCCCTTGTCTCAAAGTGACAAGACAATGGGAACCACCACTTGATACCATTATGGCAGTGAAAGCACTCAGACACAGCTGGGAGCCTGGGACATGAAAGCAGCAGTTGGACTTGCCAGTGGTGGGAAATATGATTCTTAAACAATTGTGGAGGTGGATGGAGTTCACAAGTAGCACTAGAACCCAGATCTCCTAGATTTCAGGTTGGGTCAGGGATCTAGTCAAACCTTTGGCAGACTCTAGTCAGGGTTCCTGTATTACATTCCCAACCCTGCCACTGACGGGTATGGTAGCCTCTGATTTGGTGTAGCTGAATTGAGATGTCTCATCTTGGTAAAGCACTTCATTGGGTGACATGGAGGGCAAGTCAGAAAGGTAACTGAAAATGGGCACCCAAAAATTGAGGCCAAAATCAGAGGCCAGTTTTGAACATTTTGGCCTTATCCACTCTGGGCCTCTGTTAATCACCTTGAGAAATGGTTATATTACTAGCTATTACTAGACTCACACAAATGATGTCTGGTTAGATAATAGGGCTTTTTTTTCCTGTTGACATTCCATATTTTTTTGCAAAAAGTCAAATATCAAAATATTTTAGCCAAACCCAAAAAATGTTGCTGGAAAGCAGTAACGTTTCAACTTGGTAATGCTGCTGTGGTGTCTCATGGGAGTTTTAGTTCATGTAGCTCATGCTCCCATTCTCCTTTCTTGGCTGGACTCTCTGACTAAAATACATTTCTTATGATGTACCATGGTTTCCCCTCTTGGAGGAAGAGGCGATGCATCATGGAAGTCCCTAGTCATGGTGGCTCATGGGAAATGTAGCCTGGCCCATAAAGGAAAATGGAAACATGAGCCAGCCAAACTACAACTTCCACAATGCACTGCAGAAGCATATCCAACTCTAAATATTTTGGTTTTCAGGAGGGTTTTTTTTTTAAATGAAAAATCAAAAATTTCCATGGAAAGCAGACACTTTCTGCAAAAAGTTCAGCTTAGTCAAACCCCCAAATTTTCCATAAAAAAATGAAATGCAAAATTTTCAATCAACCCAGTTGTGAAGCTTCATTAACAAATGCTTCCAAAGTGCGTGGGGAGTGCCATAGACTCCCAAGCCATTATATCCGTTAAAAAGTTAATTATAATTATATCTGGTCATTTGGGCATTATCCAAGGTTATGAGTATTTTACACTTAAATTATTTTTCAAAGTGTTATTTTTGTGAGCCCACTTCAAAAATCTGCTTCATTTAAGTTCAGTCTTGGCATGTCAGTCGTCCATGAGGAAATCGTGCCCCAAGGGTCGGTCCTGGGACCGGTTTTGTTTAATATCTTTATTAATGATCTGGAGGATGGTGTGGACTGTACTCTCAGCAAGTTTGCAGATGACACTAAACTGGGAGGCGTGGTAGATACGCTGGAGGGTAGGGATCAGATACAGAGGGACCTAGACAAATTCTATGAGTCTATGATTCTATGTTGCATTAGAGTTTTGTACTGAATTAATGATTATTCCTAAGCAAGGATGGTTATCCGTCTTTAAACACTGGAAATGCAACATTTCATTTACTATCTCATCGCTGTATGCAGAATAAATATGAAATTACAGTATGGTATAAACATAAACTATGCTTTGGCCATAGTCACGAGGATTATATGACAGCTGCACTCTTCCTGTGTGATTGAATTTCATTGTAAAAATGTAATATTGCAATTGTCTAACGAGGGAGCATTTATTCAAATAATAAAATGCACACTGAAAAAATAACAACTTCAAGAAATCAGTGACTTGGCATTGAGATAGTAGGTTTGAGATTTGGGTGTCCAATATAATCATGCTGACAAGACACTTCTTAGGGGGCTAATCAGAATTCAGTAGGTGAGCCCATAATAGAATGTGTCTGTCATCAAGAGCAAATGATGGTTGTAGGGGAAGGAAGTAGCAGTGGAGAGCCATAGCTCTGTCTGCAGACTTTGCAGTAGAAAATCAGAAGCAGGTGCAATTTCCTCTTTTGCTTTCTAGTGCTTCATCAATGGTCATTGTATCGCTGTTAAGGCTATGTTTTAGTCATGGGTATTTTTAGTAAAAGTCATGGACAGCTCATGGGCAGTAAACAAAAATTCATGGCTTGTGACCTGTCCATGACTCGAACTATATACCCGAATAAATCTTGGGGGCGGGCATCCCGGGGGTGCCACAGGTGCTGGGGGAGGGCGCCATGTGTGCTGCAGGGAGGGGGAGCAGACCCCCCCCCCCCGATGCTGGGGCGGGGTGGATGGGTGGTGAGGTGCGGCCCGGGACCGGCGCAGGTGCTGAGGGGACAGATGGTGGGGCTGGCAGGCTCCCTACCTGGCTCCACGCCTCCCTACCTGGCTCCACGCCTCTCTGGAAGCAGCAACATCCCCCCTCCCCCAGCTCCTAGGCGGAGGTGTGGCCAGGCAGCTTTGCACTCTGCCTCCACCCTGAGCGCCAGCTCCACAGCTCCCATTGGCCGGGACTTGCGGCTAATGGGAGCTGCAGAGGCGGTGCCTGCAGGCGAAGGCAGCGCACATAGGGAATTCTTTGTTTCAACTCATTTAATTTCCACATCTTGCAGGAGCAAGGTTTTCACCCAACAGTGGTAGAGTAGCCCTCCTCATCTGCCGTGGATACCCTAAGATCATCATGAGGCATCTGCATAAGACGGAGGTAGTCGTGCAGAAGCCTTATGGTAATAATACCAAGCGTTTATAGAGTGACTTTTTTATCAGTAGATCCCAAAGCCCTTTACACAGGAAGTTAATGTCATTATTCCCCATTTTAAAGATGGGGAAACTGAGGCACATAGTGGGGAAGTGACTTGTATCCAGCAGGCCCGTGATAGAGCCAAAACTAGAACCCATGTTTCCTTTGTCCTAGTCCAGTGCTCTATCCAGTAGATCACACTGTCTCCTTTCCTAGTGCCTATATACGATCCCCTGGCCCTCTTCTGACTCCGTATGCCAGAAGTAATAGTGGCCCATACAGAAGAAATTTTCTCTGCTGTAAAGAACTTGTAAGGAGGTGAATAAGTAACATATTTAAAAATGTCTCTTGTGTGAAAGGCCTTGTGTTTATATCGGTCTATCTCTTTAAGGGTTCTCAATTCTTAGTGCTATTATTAAAGACTATTCATTATTTAGAAACCCACCCCCCTATAATTTGGAATTGCAATTTGTCGAGATTTTGCCTAGTCATGTGGCCAAAATATTGATAAAATTTAAAAAAAAAAAAAAAAAGACTTTTTCTGTTGCTAAATGGACTGCCTTTTGTTTGCTAATAGGTTTAGAATATAGATACCATGAGGATTTTCTACTTTTCATAAGTGGCATTTTCTTTTGATATGAGACACCCACTAATTAATAGGAAAAATAACAGAGTAAATAAAGCACATTTCCACTGACTTTCATTAGAAATCTCAAGGAATACAATAATCTGGCTGTTGTTGCTGAGCAATTATTGTGTACTTGCACGTTTATGCCACATGGGAGAGTCCTCAGCACATCTCAGCACAGCATCTATTATTCAGAGATGGGGATTTTGTGAATGAGCTGTACTTTGATCATTTTAACCCTAGTTCATTTTTAATTAAGGCTTTGTGGTTAGAATCTCATAATTTTTCTAAAGAGAAAATGTAAGGGAGCTGGATGTTCCAGAAGTTTTAAGGGATACACTTCGCATTCACTATATATGTTTGATTTCATGTGAGTCCAATTGAGACCTATGATTAGGGTTAGCACCTAAGGCAGGGGTCGGCAACCTATGGCACACATGCCAAAGACGGCACGCGAGTCGATTTTTAATGGCATGCTGGAGCCTGCTGGGACTCCAGCGTGCCATTAAAAATCCTGCCCAGCCCGGCCTGCTTTCCTCTGCCCTCCGCTCCCCCCGCGGGGGCAGGGAGCAGAAGCATAGCCGTGCGCACGGGGTGGGCAAATGACCCCACTCTCCCGGTACAGCAAGCCGTGGGGTCCGCGCTTCTGGGCTGGAGCGCAGCAAGCTGCCAGCCCCTCCCGCGCCTTCTCCCCTCCCCTGGACCTCTGCCGCCGCGCGCGCCACGCTCTGGGGGTAGGGGCTGCACGCTCCTGCGGGGCAGTGTTTGGCTCCGCGGGGAGGGAAAGACACTCCCCACTCACCCGGAGCCCTGCCGCCGCATGCGCAGAGCTCTGGGGGCCGAGGCTGCGTGCTCCCGCGGGGCAGCTTCTCAGGCTCTTCGTGGAGCCTCATGGTAAGGGGTCCGGGGCCGGGGGGGTTAGATAAGGGGTGGGCGTGGGGGCGGTCAGGGGACAGGGTGGGTTGGATGGGGGGGTCTCTGGAGGGGGCAGTCAGGGAGCAGGGGGGGTTGGATGGGGCATGGGAGTCCCGGGGTCTATCAGGGGGCGGGGGGTGGATAGGGGTCAGGGCAGTCAGGGGACAGGGAGCAAGGAGGGTCCT